GTCTCCTGCCTCAGCCTCCCAAGTAGCTGGGACCACAGGCGCCCGCCACAACGCCCGGCTATTTTTTGGTTGCAGCCATTATTGTTGTTTGGTGGGCCCAGGCTGGATTTGAACCCACCACCTTAGGTGTATGTGGCTGGCGCCTTAGCCGCTTGAGCCACAGGCACCGAGCTGAGACTCTGTGTCTTAAAAAAAAAATCAGCTAGGCAGGGCTGTGCACACCTGTAGTTCCAGCTACTAGGGTAAGTAGGAGGATCACTTGAGCTCAGAAGTTTGAGGCTGCAATGAGCTAAGAGTGACTCTTGAGGAAAAGAGTTGGTTGGCTAACTTCAGATTACTTTTTTTGATAAGGGTTAAAGCAGAGGGGTCTTCTTTATTATGCTACTGTAGATAGGAATCTCCTGTTTTTAGGAAAAACTGGTCTGTTTTGGGATCTATCTGCTTCCTTAAAGTTTCACTTTAATTATTTAGCATTAGTGACTCCATTTAGGTTTGATGTGGTCTGCTGGGGCCTAGTGTGAGAGCTCAGTCTACAACAATGGCCTCCCATAATCTTTATTCAATAGGCTGTTCTTGAGTTACATCCTTTTTATCCTTTATAATAAACCAGTAAATATAAGTATTTTCTTGAGTTCTGTGAGTTATTGAGGTAAATCACAGAACTTGAGGAGGGGTCTGTGAGAATCTCCTTTTTTGTTGTTGTTGTAGTTTGGCTGGAGTCGGGTTCAAACTAACCACCCTTGGTATATGGGGCCGGCACCCCACCCACTGAGCCACAGGTACCGCCCAAGAACCTCCATTTTATAGACGGCCATTCAGAAGTATGGGTGGCCCCTCGGGACTTAGAGACAGAGGTCTCACTATATCCCCAGGCTATCCTTGAACTCCTTGACTTAAGCGATCCTCCCACATCAGCCTCTATATAGAGTAGCTAGGACTATAGGCACAAGCCATTACACCAGGCTATCCCCTGAGACTTCTGACTGATGCCTGAAGTAAGGAGGGACAGTCTTGTGGAACTAAGCCCTTAAGCTGTGGAGTCTGCCCTGACTCCAGAAGTTAGTATTAGAAGTGAATTGTTGGGCTCGGCGCCTATAGCTCAACCGGCTAAGGCGCCAGCCACGTACACCTAAGGTGGCGGGTTTGAATCCCCAGCCGGGACCCGCCAAACAAC